CCTCAGCCTCCTAAATCCTGGGATTATAGGCATGCACCATCACACCTAGCTCGGTATTTTTTGTTTGAGGAGAGGATAATAATATCTTTATGAAGAATAGCTGCATTGTGTTAGAACAAATGGGGGAGGGTATTGAAATTTAAATATAAATGCTGATTAACCTATAGGACTAACTATGGCAGTGAGGTTTTGCCCCTTGGCTTCCTTCTATGACTTCAATCCTCCTTCTGTACTCAACTTTGCCTACTAGCTCCATGTTGAGGTGTGCCAACAGGGGGTGCTGGAGGAGCACTTAAATCTGGAGGAGAAGAGAGCATTTGGACTGTGGCCAGCCTGCACTACATTAGGCAGATTGTGAGGCAGGGAAAGGGCGGGGCGGAGGGGTGGGGGGGTGGGGGAGAAGGTTCTAATAGTTACTGTATCTTTCTCTGGGAATCCTTTCACCTTCCTGAGTTGAGAAGATATAGCTGGGAATGCAGAGAAGTCAACACAGCTAGAATTAACAGGACAGCATACTGAAAACAACAGAAAAGGACCCTAGAGAGAAGCAAAGGTTCCCATCAAGTTTACAGCTGAGTGCTAATGGGTGCCTGGGTGTGAGAAAACTATTCAAGGGCAGAAAAACTACCATCTGAAGCCGAGGAATATCTCCCAAAACTCACACACACTGAGAGCAGGGCTTGTTCCACCTGCCGGGGTGGAAAACCTCATAACTCAGGGGTAGCAAGGAGAGTACTGAGTTTTTGCCTCAGTAGTAAAAAAACATTAACCCTTCATTTAACCTGATTCTGGACCCAACAAACAGCTTAAAATCAAGACCCAAAGAGATCAAACTGCTTGCAAGTAACTTAAAGGTTATAAGAGGTAACTTAAAGGTTACCAGAACAAAGTTCAAAAATATTGATAAGAATACAAAAGTACTGAACATTCAATAAAGTTAAAATTTACAGTGTCTTGACATTGAACAAAAATAGCTAGGAAAGAAACAAAAAACTATAACAGACCTATAATTGACAACCATGGGGAAGGTGAGAAAGGAAAAACATTTTTGAATTGTATTAAAATTCTGAAAAGTGCAATGAACCCCAAACACAAGAAACATGAATTATGCCAAGACACATCCTAAACCAAGTGCTTCAACCATTGATAAAAAGAAAATCCTGAAAGAAGCTTCATACAGAGGAACAAAGGCTACAGCTGATTTTTTTGTTAGAAGTAATGCAAGTCAAGATAGTGAAGCAACATCTTTAAAGTTCTTAAAGAAAAAAAAAAGATCAACCCTGCAAAAACACATTTCAAATGTTCTACTTCATAACCCTAATGAGAAAAGGACTTAAGAAGTGATTTCTGAGAGCCTTTGGGGACTTACTCTAAGTTCTGTGGTCAGTGATGCGCTCAAGATGAAAAGAACAAGGTTACCTCTGAGAATCTGAAAGAACTACTGAAGATCACATGAAAGAAGTATCATACTTGTAAGCAAGGTGTGGAAAATACTACAGATTGGCTCACTCAATACCAATCCCTAACCTTTCCTTTTTTTCTTCTACCATAGAGGCTAGCAAGATTCCCTTGCAGCTAAGGTAACCATTATGACTCAGATCTAGACAGTGAGATTCAAACAGAAGTCCCCAGGAGAGGTTTCTCTTACTCTGCTCCTTCCCTGTCCCTTCTGTCTGACTGGAAAGCAGGCAGGAGAACTGGAAGTACGAGAGTATCAGAAGGCAAAGCTAATGTACTAAAAGACGCTAAAGGAGAAAAATACACTGGACCCCAATGGCATTATTGGTGTGATATACCATGGGACTTACTGCTACTGCTGTGTGACACTTTGGGGCAGGTTTTCTGTTATGTACAGCCATGCAATTCTGACCATATATTTAGGGCAATGCTTGGAAACTTTTTTTTTGCAGTCCTGGGGCTTGAACTCAGGGCCTCATGTTCTCTAGCCAGGCATTCTACCACTGGAGCCACTCTGCCAGTCTTAGGGTGATTTTTGTAATGGAAGGAATTTGGACTGTTGGTAGGATAAGCAGATTAAAGATTATTTGACCCAGAAGAGGTTGGGTAGAGTATCCGGGACTTGGTTACTTGTATTGGCCATACTGAGATGGGAGCAACAGAAAGAATGTAGGGAAGGGAATTCTGGAAAAACCAGATAACTCGTACCAAGTACCTCATTGGTTGGACTCCTGGTCCGTCCCATGGCTTGTGTGGTCTGGGGAAATATTTCCAGGCAATATCATTTTTCATTTCAAGTATTTTCGACACAATGTACAGTAAATATGTATGCTCAATTTTGTAAGCTGTCCCCATCTTCTCAATGAGAGATTTTAAGGAGAATAAGAAGTGTTGACTTCTTCCTTAGAAGGATTTGTACTTAATTTTTCAAACTAACCTGGCAAGTCACAATTATTACCCAGTACAAAAAGAATCTGATGCATTATTAGACTGAGCTATTAAGGCTTTCCTGGCTGGGAATGGGGTGACACCCTTGCTCTTTATTCATTATTGTGCATGTGTGCTTAGCATATCAGAGATAAAACAGCACCATTTTTAAGAAAGGTCAGTGCCAGAGGGATGACACACAGTGTGAGTAAAACTCATTTATAAAATATAGCAGGCTCATTAACAATTATGACAAGCAGCCTTCTTTAACATACAGCATTATTTTTAAGCTGAGGAATGTATAAAACAGTATGTATGGCAAATATCTTTTTCTTCACATCTTTTGCCTTTTTTGACACTTTTTTGTTCTATCTGTATTTCTTTATTCATTTATTTGGTGGCAGGGGGTTTGAACTCAAGGATCCATGCTTGACTAGGCAAGCATTTACCTCCATCCCTTTTTGCTTTGGGTTATTTTTCAGATAGGGTCTCATTTTTTGCCTAGCTTGCCCTGGACCTCAATGTCTTATGTCTCTCATGTAGCTGGGATTATAGGCATGAACCATCATATCCAGCTTATTTTGTTCAGATGGGGTCTTGGTAATATTTTTCTCCAACTGGCTTTGAACCGTGATCTCGATCTCCACATTCCAAGTAGCTAGGATTACAGGCATGAGCTACCTTGCCTGGCTATGTGTACTGCCTTAGATTTTGGCACTGAAACATGCATAAATGAAACTTGAAGGAAGAAACCTAGGTAAAACCCATATGAAACAAAGATTACAGGCCAGGGATGCTATTAACATCTCAAAGGACACAGGTTAGCACCCTATCCCTCCAACAAGAGTTACTGGGCCCAGAATGTCAACAGTGCTAAAGCTGAGAAACACTGAAGATGGTAGTAGCTTGGAAAGCTAGAGTATAGTCCACTAGGGAAGCAGCCCACTTCTGCATAGCAAGATTGTGGGGAAGCTAAAAAACAGCAATGGAGTGCTGGGGGCGTGGCTCAACCGGTAGAGCAGTTGCCTAGCAAGTGCAAGCCCCTGAGTTCAAACTGCCAAAAAAAAAAAAAAAAAAAAAACCCACTAATGGAACAGGGTTGAAGGTAGTGAATTCTGGTGAATAGCAGGGCAGGAACCTCATAGGATATGTTGGTCTGTGAGGAACCTTCCATCCCTACTTCCAATAATTTATGTGGTATTTACCCCAAGAGGACAAAAGGACGATGGCAGTACCTGAACCCGCCCTGCAAAACAAATATCCCCAGGAGACAAAATCAGCCCCCAGTTGGGAACCACTGTCCTATGTTCTACACACAAAAGATGAAAGATATTATCAAATGTAAATTCCATCATGTCACACACACTCTCCCCACCCTGTCAAAAATGCTCCAATGTTTTCCTGTTGATCTCAGAAAAAAACCTAAGTTCCTTACTGTGACCTGGCATGAACTGTTCCCTCCCTACTTTTAATCCCTCTTCCATATCTCACTCCCCTCCCACTAAGTCCCAACCACACTGGTCTTTCTGTTCCTTAACAAGCTTGTTCCATCTACCCTTTGTGTGTGCTGTTCTTTCTGCCTAGAATGCACTCCCCTTGGGTCTTTGTATGGTTCACTGTTCCCCTAGGGAAATCTCAGATCAAATGTTACATAATCAGCAAGGCCTTCCCTAACCATCCTCTCTAAAGAGCCTCCTTACCTCCATTCTCTATCACTTTACCCATTTATTTCCTTCACAGTGCTGATCACAACGGAAAATTTTCTTTTTTCTCATTTTTTGTTTGCCTCTTCATCAGAGCAGGAACTTTGTCTTTTCCGCTGCTGCAGCTCAAGTGCTCAGAACAGCGAGAGTAGGTACCAGTAACTAATCCTCTACCTTCTTCAAAGCTCACTCAGGTTTCAGTGACTTTCTCTTACTTTCCCTGAGATATTTATTTATTTATTTTGCAATGCTGGGGATGGAACCCAGGACTTTGCCCATACTTGGCAAGTGCTCAACAACTGAGCCACATCACCTCCAGCCCTTTCCTCTGAGGATTCTTCTTGATGGTTGATAGATTAATGCTGGTTTCTTTTCTTTTCTTTTTTTTTTTAAAAACATCTGGGCCATGTTAAAAAGTAGGTTGTTGGGGGTATCATGTTCAAACCCTTAGCACAAGAAAACTTGTTATGAAACATAAGTAAAAGTCAATTAATAATTCACAAAAGACACTTTCTTCCCCCTAGATTTCTAGCAAGTACATGATCACTCCACTGATTGTGGTTTGTTTGGTCCTATTTCCTAAATTCAAGTGGTGAAGCTCTTTTTAAGAATCCAAAAATCAAGGGCTGAGAGAGTCAAACAGCCTCTGTCCATCAACCACTGGGCTATAACAGTATCTCAGACCTGAAAAACCTTAGTGCTGTCTCCAAGTTAAAATAGTTCACTGGGTCAAAAGCAGGATGGTCCAAGGTGCAGCATGGTCAATGAATGTTGGCTGAGCACAAACCACAGCTCGACCATTTCCTCAATTGATTTATGGGCTGTTTGTGTGAAACCAAACATGACTGGCCTTCCTGGCAGCTGAAAGCTGTTCTGTCCTGGCTAAAGACCCTGGTCGAGGGAAACTTTTCATCAGGCCTTTTTCACGTTCTTGTACACGGCATGCTTGTCCCATGGGGTCAGGCTCTTTGTGTGGTGCAGGGCCATCTCCATCCCCAGGGAGGAGGTCCTGATTTGGCAGGAGGCCATCTGGGAGGAGGTTTCCATATGCTGGGAGGACACCTCGAGGATAGAAGGGGGTGGCTTCGTGGAAGGGGCAAGGGAGGGCCTCTAGTGATTGTGCTGGAAGGTCTCCACCTGTGGGGAGGACATTTGCACCTGCTGGGAGGACATCTGAAAGGAAAGTGAAGAAGCTGATCGGAAAGACATACTGAGAAAGAATCTGGGACCTTCATAAGCAGCAGGTCCTTATTAGGGAGAGGAGACTGAGAGGGACCCTCGGTAACAGCCTTTCTTACAGGTGGGGATTTTAAACATCCTGTGGTGGGAAAAGAGAGGTTGGAGGGGGATGGGCATTAGGTAAGATGGTTGGGAAGGAGGATAGAGGAGGTGCTGGACATTAGCGGGAAGGTCATCATGGTTGGGTAGGTATGCATGTTGTTTTCTCTACATTCCAGCATTGAATTGTCTCAGTGTTTCTTGACATTCCAGCATTCCAGGCTCTTTGATATATATATATGTATATATACATACACACACAAATACACATATATATATGTATATACACGTATATACACATGCATACATAAGTGGCACAGGGGTGCTGCCTGTCTTCTGGCTACTTCCTGCTGGCTAGGGGTGATGTGGGGGAGTTGTCGAGCCTGGAGAGTTTGTAAAAGCATGATGGCCTTGAATTGCTCCCCTGCAGTAGCCTGGGAAATGATGGTAATACATTTCTGTAAAAACCTTTGGAGGAAATTAGTGAGGCATGGTAGGAACATTACAGCCAGACAAACAAGGATGACAGGAACCACAGTGGGATGAGCCATGGGTACAAGGAGGAAAGAATATTAGTAGGCTGTGAGGATGTTAGCTGTTGTGCCTTATCCCTGAGATTTTTTTTTTTAATCCCATCACTAACTCTTCCAGACTTATTGGTGAAGAAACAACAATCCTCTCCTAGGAAGAGGCATAGCCTGCCTTTCTCAGCTGTGAAGAGATCTAATCCTCTCCTGTTTTGAAGGCAAGGTCACAATGGGAAAAATAAGGGGTCCCAGTAGAGGGAAGACCCATTGCATCCACTTAGCCCAGGAAGAGCACTGTTCCAACTGTCTATTGTTCATTGTCAGAGATTGGCATTGAGTTCCCAAAGTCTCTTAGTGGCATCATGAATGATCCTGGACTGGCTGACATAAAAACAGCAACTTTTGGACATGGTGTTGAGTGGCAACCTGTATAAAGGAATGTAGTTTTGGAGAAGTAAAGTAAGACATGCAGTTAAATACACATGGGCCAATGGTTATCAGCAGAAGGAAAACCAAAGGATCTTGGGGTACAGACATTGGCTATAGGTTTAAGTAGACAAAGAACCAGGGGCAGGGGACAAAGGTATGTGTAGTAAATGGTTCCAACCACAGGTGTGGCCTGGTTTGTCATTACCTCAGTCTTTGTTTTGGGAGAGGTTCTAGAGTTATTGTCTGAAGGGTGTTCTGTAAAAACAGTTAAAGTCTAAAACTAGAAACACCGTTATGAAGTAGAATACAGAGGAAGTAAAATAGACCTCCCAGTTAAATAGCCCTCCTAAGGGAAAATAACTCCATGAGCAAGGACTACTAAAAAGGTAAGTTTGGAGCCAGCAAAAATAATGTTTTTTTTACTTAAATAGAAGGCCTTGGCCAAAAATATGAGTTTGCCTTCTGTCAGAGGTGCCTGCAAGGGCTTGAAGGTCTAATAGATCACTTCTTTAAAACCTCTCAGCTTTAGTAAATTTTGTGAGGTCTGGCACAGGTTAGTCCATCCAGATTGTGACAGCTTTTCCCCTCTTGTCTCCAAATCGTCTTTGAAGAGTCACCTCTGAAGATTTTGTCAATTAACCATTCTTGTTAATGAGAATCCCTTGGTGCAGGAAAGCTTTTCCTGGATGTTCTCAGCATTGGAGGGGAAGCTTCGGGCAGATCAGGTGGGAATCAGTGCCAGTTAAGACCCGTTTGGCCAAATTATAAGCAACAAAAGAGGTTTAGAAGAAATGAGCTTACCTCGCATCCATTTTTAATTCTGTCTGGACTATAGATGATATTCTGACAACTTAAAAATGCTGCAGAATGTAAACAAACAGTTAAAGGTTTTGAAAAAAGCCAACAAAAGTAAATATCTAGAAGGCCAACTCAATTGAAAAATAGGTACTGGGTAGAGTTATTTTTGGGGTTTAATTGCAAATGCTCCAAAGAAGGACCCAGACTGAGAATGAAAAGACTTAGAGTACCCATGGATAAAATACTGAAAAGTAGTTTGAGAATTGTCAGGAAATTTAGTTATTCTCATTGCAGGTCGCATTTTTAGGAAAATAATTATGACTGACTGTATTAAAACAGAAGCATTAAATGCTCCTTGCTACAATTAGGAACCCATGGACACAAGCTTGCAAAAGTCTAGCATCGTTAACTTTAGATCTCTTACAAGTTAGTGGACAATGCCTGTGATCTCAAATAGCTTTATTTTCTAATGTACAAACACATTTCATACATACAGTAACACTTATTTGACTAAAACTAATATAGGCCAGATTTTAAGTAGCAGGATTGCCCAACTGACAGTTTTTCTGAATGTTACTGATCACAAACAGCACACCTGCCAAAAGTTTCATTAACCATTTTATATGTCAAAGGTTTAGATGTAATGCTTTTGGATAAACAACTTTAGCTTGTCAGTTAAATGTAATGCTTTTGGATAAAAGAGAGCTTTAGCTCATCATTTTACATAAACTGACACTTTTAACTTTGCAAATGTTTATACAATATTTAAATAAAGTCTAGACACAGAACAGAGTTATAAGATGGTCATTTAAGAGAATTTTGCATAAGCAAATATGTAAATGAACTCTGATTTAGTAGAACTTAAAGCTTGACAAGATCAACAGAAAACACAAGAAACTGCTCTGATAAAATCTTTCCCTATAGCAGTTTTTTTTTGCAGATGTTACTCAGAGCAAAACAATATTAAAATAGCTTTGTTATTTTATGGGCACAGAGAATTAGATGTCAGTTTGACATGACCCTAGAAAATCTTTGAGTCAACTCTTAAATTAGAGTCAACTTTACCTCATCACACACTGAAGCTTTTATTATACACTTTTAAGACTTCCTCAGAACCTTCATATAACATTCTGAACCTTCTGATGGTTTATCCTTACCCCTCCTCTCCTCATTGGAACACTCTTTAGGACACACCCTACTTTACAAAATCCTTTCTCATTCAAAGCACTCTTCTTTCCCTTTAACTTTTCCCCAAAAATACACTCAATATCTATCTATATCCTTTCTACTTGTTGACTTTGTAACTTGTATTTTAAAATACATGTCTCATTCACACAACACACAGCCTCCAGTATCCCAACCACCAAGACATTTCTTGGTCACCCCCATGATGTTTCTTGTCTTGGTTTGTGCACAAAACTTATGTGGTTGCTGTGGTCCCTATCTTCAGAGGTCTTTTACTCACATTGTCAAGAAATTCTGGAGTCCAAGTTTGTTCTCAGATCTGGAATGTTTTCACCACTGACCGAACCTTGGGAAGCTGCAACCAGGCAGCAGGATGTGTCTCCCCAGGGAAGGGCTGGGGCCCTCCTTTCCTAGATGGAATGTAATATTCCAGATGAAACCCCAAATTGTTGGAATTAAAGACCCTCTGGTGCTTAAAAAAGACACATAAGAGACAGAAAATTTTGAGAAGACAATTTCAAAAGGGTGCAAGCATGTGCTCACTCCTGCTAAGCAAGCATGCAGGCACAAAATGGCTGACCGTGGCTCCTCCTTGAATCCCTGACACAGTTGTACCTGTCCCTAACTTAGGATTTGTCCAGGTCAAAGGTTCACAGTCTTTCCTGATTGGCTAAAAGTCTTGGGGGATGGGCTTGGCTGGTAATGGAGTCATACAGGAATCCAGAAGAAGAAGCAGGACCCTTTAAACTTGCAAGTCACCTAAGATGGTGACCTGAGGAATTTTTAAGTAGTCTAAGAGGGTAACAAATACTTTGATAGAAAAGATCATTTTTCTCACAATTCCCCCCTCTTAATTTAAATTCTTTTCTTCAAACTCATTTAGGAGTCATTGGCTCTCGTGTTCCTGTGTTTCTAATAGAAACAAGTTATTTTGGTGGGGCAGGGGTAATTGTTTGGTGAGGGCTGTCTCAATTAACCACTGTACTAGTTCTCGGACACAAGGAATTATGCAGCATCCTACTAAAATTAAAACTCCAGCCACTATGATCAAGGAGGTTAAGATCGAGGTCATCCAGCCCTTCCATCTTCCAAACCAATTTTCAATTAAGTCAGTGAAGGGATCATTTATACCTGAGTTTTCAGCTAGCTTGTTAGATAGGGTAGTTGATCCCCATAGGGTCTTAGCAACAGATTCATCAGGGGCTGTGTTATTCAGTATATGAGTGCAACATAAAACACCAATCATTATGCAAACTCCTCCCTTTCTGGTCAACATCATGTCTATTTCTCTCCTTTTCCTAGACGTTGTGGCACGGGATGGGGATCCAAATGCCAGGGTGAAAGGGATTGCCAACTGCACCAAAGCACAGGTGCCTGTCCAGTTACTTGGGACAGTCTCAAGTAAAGGTCCTCCATAGTACCACCAGACATCGGCTCTGCCCACTGAGAGTGTGGACTGATTTGTGAGGCTGTTGAAGGACCTACTTTTACTGCATCCCATCAGGCTTCCCACATTTGTTAATAGTCCCCACTGTCTGGTGAGACATGGGGCATAATTGACGTCTAGGGTGGGTGGCCTAATAGTCCTCGGGGGCTGACCCACAGGACCTCTGACCTCTGGGAAAAGTAATGATAGCATCAAGCAGGATTCATTGCCCCAAGCTTTGGCATCCTGAAACACAGCCAACATGCAATACATTCCATCTGGATCTGAGGACCATCCTAATGGAAACGGGACCACCTGAGACTCTGGTCTCCCAGTAGTACAAGCATAGCAATCACTCTTATTTAATGTGCAGGCAGAATATTTTATCCATTTCATCCAAGCATTCCATATCCTTGTACCCAATTCCAACAGCCACAGTTTATCTTAGGTCCTTGACTTCTACTACAGTCACTTGAGGTTGATTGTCGTACAAACATGGAGGTAATATTGGAGTGGAGGTAGAACTGGGTGTCACCTGGGAGGGGTTGGGAGTTAGATGAAGCTCA